GCATTTTCTGGTGTTTAATAACTTCTAACAGATTTTGAAAATGTCTCATAACACAAAAAAGTTAGTAAAATTTGATTTTGGTGTAGAAACAAGAGCTTTCTTAATAGATTCCTTTGCTCATTTCAAGGTGAACTGCAAGATCAACCTTCACAAGTGGGATCTGTTTTCCTGTTCAACAGTTTTTCTGGACTTTTATTTCAGGCATGTGGTTGAATAAACATGGGAGCTAGAGAAACATTTGGAAGCTCCCTTCTCCTGCAGGACCATTAGAGCCACCGTAGAATATAACTTTGTTGCATTCTTAGATTACAAAGAAGAGAGGGAAGTTCCAGAATTATTTTTAAATGAAACACCTGCCTTGAGACAAAGTGAAAAGTCCCAGCTCTGATCTTCATGGTGGATGGAGCTTAGAACCAACTTGTTCTATCTTTAGATGACTTGGAATTATCTGGTGTTTTGGCAGTTGGACAATTCTAGATTTCATGGGTCTTTTGAGGTGGAGACAGGGGTGAGAAGTAGGGTTCAGAGGGGAGAGATTGCTGCTATTTTAGGAACCGTTCCTTATCCAGAAAGGAAATGACCTGCCATTACTAGAACAGCCTGCTCTAAGATCACAAGGGACCACTCAGTAAGTGAAGAAGAGAAGCACCATTTCTAGTTCAATTTCCTGGTATCTGGAGAAAGGGAACACTGGCCTTTCAAGATCATTGCCACAGGGCTGGGTTGGATAGGGCTGACCTGAGCTGAGACTGGTCCCCACAGCCTCTCTAACTTCCCTCAGGCACAGGTCCCCCATCTGCACCTGCCTGAGTCTCCAGACCTCCTCAGCTCAAACCCTCCTCCTTGGTCCTGGGTCCCAGGCTGCTCCTTACAACCATCTGACAGTCCAGGCTGCTGACTGACACAGCAACACCTGCTCTTCACTGCACAGGGCAGAGCTGGGACCATAACAGCCCACACCACAGCACTGAGCTCAGCTCCTGCAGACCACACTTTCCCAGATGTATGAACCCAGACTTCCCCTTAACCCTCTCCCATCCAGAGCACTCTCTCAGGCCCTGCTCAGATTTGCCAGATCTCTACAGGGTCACAGCTCCCCCTTGTGGCTGCAGGGTCAGGAGTGCAAGGACTTGGTCCTGCTGCACACCAAGAGGAACATGGTGGTAAGGGTCTTAGAAACAGAGACCACATGGGAGGGGAGAGGGTGGTAATCAGTCCCTGCCCTTCTCAATCCAGATATATTTCTCAAAATGTCCCCTTTTGAAGAACCCCGTGCCCCTTGTGTGAGCAAAGCAGGCAGGGAGTTCCCCAAGGTCAGCTTCAGGGCATCAGATAGAAAAGGGCCACTGCAGGCTACTGGAACAGTGATTGCATTGTCTTTGAGGCACCTGAGCCTTAGAAGCGGCTTCCACAGGAAGAGAAGGAGCCTCCACCCCAGGAAGACACCAGTCTGACCAGGACTCCCTCTGCCTCTCAGAGGGAGGCCAAGCATATGGTCCAGGCCCACACCAGAAGGTAAGCCATGTGGCAGAGGCACCTCCAAGGGACTTCAGAACCTGGGATGATAAGCCCAGAGATGGGGACTGGGAGAGGACTGTGGAATAGCTTCTCAATGTTGATGATTTGGTGATTTGGGGGGAAATATCAGAACCCAAGATTCTACGTAGAATAGCAGGTTCTAGCTGTTGTCTATTAGAGACTGTGTGCTTTGTATCTCTTGGGGACATTTATAAATGTGTAAGGGCATTTTGATTCCCAAAATTATCAGATAGTTTTCTTTTTTTTATTAGTTAAACATGACAGTACCATGATCTTGACATATCATACATTTGCATCAGATGGGGTATAATTTCTCATTTTTCTGAGTGTACA